AGGGTGGGGGGAAACAGTCATGCAAGCACAGAGAAAATTTGATAGCATTTCCCCACCTCTCAAACAATCGCACACATGGGGTCTAATCAAAAAGAAAATATTATCCCGGGGACCTGACACAGAGAGGCTAATCAAGGACTGACTTAATTAGACTGATCGTGTGGCAGACTGTCGGACTCCAGCGCCAGACTGACAGATAAAGATCCAGACTGACATCCAAAGAAACGAAAGGAAACAGAGCAGTTTGTGAAATTTCAGCAGAAAAAAATGCAACTGTCGAAAGGCTAGGTGAAAGTTCAGACTGCAAAACCAAATTTTCAGGTGGTCTAAACCTAGAATCGTTCCGGCTGAGTCCTTCAGGAATGTTAAAATTGGAATGATACAGAGAAGCTTAGCATGGCCCCTGCACAAGGATGACACGCTTAAATCGAGAAATGGTCTAAATAAATAAAAAAAAGGAAAGAAAAGAATCGTGCATGGCCCCTGCGCAAGGATGACACACATAAATTGAGAAATGGTCTAAATAAATTTAAAAAAAAGGAAAGAAAAGAATCGTTCCGGCTGAACTGCCCCCGTGTTCAGTCGAGTTCTTGCATTGGTATGCTCTAGGCGTTGTCAGCTCTGCTTTCGTTTTGGTCTACTCATACATGGTCTTCAACGAGTTCTTACTGCTTGAAATGTTTTTGTTCCCACATGCCGGTTCCTTGTACATTGACCAATTTGTTCAAAATTACACCACAAACAAGACAGGAGAAAAAACTTTCCTAGTTTCACCACAGTGCAGACCTGTCATTGATGGCAACATTTTACGAGCTTAATCAGTCTTGAGACTTTTGCTACATGAGCAGGAATTTCACACTCACCACAAATGGAGTTGATGCCATCTGCTCATGCTCCCATTTCTTGGGATCTGCCCTTACGTACAATTCCGCATTTGGCCGACACTCCGAGTCCTCACCATACATCAAGTTTGCCATGACACGAGCACAGATAGCATCTCTCAACTTATCAACTGCACGCTGCAATCGACGCCGAAGGGCCTGCTGCTCTGATGAAGACTGGCTACGAGTTGTTGCCCCAAGAGTCCTGCCCTTCCGTGCACCTACAGTTCCCCCCAGGTGAACACCAGCAGCGCCCTGTGATGATGTCGGAGTTGTTGATTGTGCACTCCCAGGAGCAGAACGTGACAGCTGCATGGAAGCACGCGGCAGAAGCTCATCCGCCAAAGCCGCAGCATTCCCAAGAAGCGCTAGCTGCTGCGCCTCCGTCTCAGCAATTCTCACTCTCCCTCCATCACCATGTCCCTCACCGTGTCCCTCACCGTTCTCCACACCCTCATACTCGTCATCATCAATCGTTGGAGGCAATGCCTTCATTAACAACCTAACATAACCCTCGAACAACTGTGCAAGCCCATCAAGGGTTGGCCCTGTCAACTGCATGCCAACGACAGGGGTGACATCATCAAGGAATTCCTGCACATCATCATCCCACACGTGATAAACACAGATTATTAGGCAGCTCCAATGCGTTGCATACCGTAACGGTGCAGACCAGAACAAGAACCGACCTCTTTCACATAGTACAGGATAGAGCAGCGGAAGGCTAAAATACCAATGATCAGCCCAACCAACGTCACAATGCAGACCAAACATACATCATCATCATCGCATGGTGTGAAGGGGCCTGGCGCTCACACAGGAAGAATGCGCCAATCCCAAAACATACACAGACGAAGAGGAGGGGAATCAGACGAAGAAGAGGGGGAAGATGGGAATGTCGTCAACACCAAGTCTTCTATATAGGTCCCAAATAATCCCTCGTCCAATGTCCCGATCCCAACGTCGAGTCTGAATCCAAATGTCGTCGAGTCCCAAAGTCACCAATCTCTCTCTCTCTCTCTCTCTCTCTCTCTCTCTCTCTCTCTCTCTCTCTCTCTCTCTCTCTCTCTCTCTCTCTCTCNCTCTCTCTCTCTCTCTCTCTCTCTCTCTCTCTCTCTCTCTCTCTCTCTCTCTCTCTCTCTCTCTCTCGTAGTCTGCAGATACCGAGAAGTCAGGTGGCGAGAGGGTGAGGGAGAGATGGTGGACTTAAGAGGAGGGAGAAGAACTCTCTCTCTTGTGAAGGTGGCGCCTGGTTGCAGGTACATCGAAGACGAAGCTGGAGCTATGGCGCCACAGGTAAGTCTCCCTGGCCTCCGCCAACCCTCTCTCTTTCCCCAACGCTACTCTAGCTCCTAATAGCGCCCAGCGCTGAAGGCTACTCCTAACGCTACTACTACTACTGCAGCGCTCCTCCAGAGTGCTGCTGCCGACTCCTGAAGACTGCCCCCTGCCTCCTGCACGTGAAGTGCCTGTGAACTGCCTGGGAAGTCCCTTAGTTCTATATAGTGCTGGCCCATCCGGGAGGCTGCTCTTGCCAATGCCGAAACATGCCAGACCCTGGCATTGAAGTTCAAACAAAGGTTGTCTTGAAACAGGCCCAAAAATGGTCTGTGCTAAACCCTGGGCTGGCGCCTGAGTTTCAGGGCAGGTCGACTTTATGAGGGCCTGAAAATGGCCCTCATTTTCAGGTTTTTAGGCTGAAACGACACAGGGCCTGGAGGGCCCTTATTTTCCGTCCGGTCGGGCCCTGCAGGCCCGTGTGGATGCGCAGTATGCCACAAATGACACGTTGATGTTTACCTATGATAACCAAGTCACGCCCATGCATTGAAACAAAATCCAAAGAGATCAGGAGAAGAGAAACACTGAATACCACTCAGGAGTGGCAACTTGGCAAGATAAATGAACAGATGAACAAAGCGGACTTGTGGTGCACCTGTGTGGAGCGCCGTGTGGTGCAGTGTGTGAAGCATGTTGTGCTGATTGGAGGTGTGTGTGTGAGGTGAGGCGTGCTGAGGTGCGGGCGTCTACACTTCATGCACACACATCATAGAATGCTCTTTTTTTTTGTGCGTGTGTGTTGTGTGTGTGTTGTCATGTTCGCTATACACATCTCCACAAAAGAGAGCATGACTGTGCCAGAGTGTTTCGTCGGACTTTCACTGACTCATCAGGAGGCTGAACCCCGACAGTCTTCCCAGGATGCATTTGACTGGTGGACAAGGACTCACAACACCGCCCAGAGTTAGCGATCCCCCAGAGAAAAGAAAGTCTTTACTCGCACCAACTCGGCAATCCTAGCAGGCTGTCGATCCAACGGCAGTAAGTCTGAGATACTAATCTGTCACAGCCAAAAACAAACACTCTAAACACCCACTCAGCCATGGTTACCCCTGCGTGTATGTGAGCGAGCGAGCGAGCGAGCAAGAGAGAGAGAGAGAGAGAGAGAGAGAGAGAGAGAGAGAGAGAGAGAGAGAGAGAGAGAGAGTATCGCGCCTGAAGGGTGACCGTATACATTGCAGTAACCACGTCCCTTTGTCAGAGTTCACGAATAGCGCAAAGTTCAGAAAATCGCTGCCAGAGTCCAAAAATCGCTGGAGTTCACCAAAACCACGCGCCCTTGTCATGACTCCGCGTGAAAGATTGCATCCTTCCGACAGAGGTGCAGAAGCAACAGTCATGCACGAAGGTGTTTGCTTGGCAGCCGACCAGGTTGGACATCGCACGGGCTGCAGAAATGTTTCGTGTGGCCAATGCTTCCAATTCCCTGAACTTCCACATGGCAAAGACCATGCATGACACATATGCGCGGCACATGCACGACACATAATTGGAGGTCACTATGCGAAGCTGAGGGTGAAAAGCACCCATCCTACCAGCACATCCGCAATCATGCTGCATTTCATATTTCGGCACATCAAGAGCAGACCGGAACTGTCCAGCAAAGTCAAGTAGCAGACACTCATAGCTTCCAAGGAAAACAACAGCCTAGAATAGGCTAACTTAAGCAGGGGTGAAGATCGGTACATCCTCCTTCAAGGAAGTAATCAATGCCGTCTTCTGGGCCTCCACGCCATAAGGGGGAGGAGTGTGAGTGAGTAAGCAATGTACTATCTTGGACTTGCCGGCGGAATAGGAATCGGGCTCCCCAGAATGGAAAAGGAGCCAGAACCACAAGGTTCTGTTTGGTTAAAAAAAAAAAAAAAAAAAAAAAAAAAAAGAGCGGAGAAGCCAACACAGCACTAGAACGAATTTAGCGGCGCATTCATCACCAACACGTCAACAGAATGCTGCAGTCAACCAACCCGTTATGCATTTTCTGGGAGTCAATACTCCAGGTGCAGTACTTGTGGCAACAATTATGATGCCAGGGGGAGAGAGCATTGCTGCAGCACTAAGGCTGTGCGAGCAGGTGACAAGAGACTTTGGACTGCAGCACATCAAGGCCATATGCACTAACAATGCGAAGGGAAACAAGAAGGATCCTCGATAAAATGCAGCATAACAATGCAAAGGGAAACAAGAAGGATCCTCGATAAAATGTCGCATTGAAGAGAAGTTTGCAAGGATCTTGTGGGTGCCTTACGCTTCTCGCTGCAGCAATCTTCCTGCAGGACAGTAGCAAAATGAGTGGAGTGCATAACACAATGAGAAGGGCATATACGGCTGTGACGTTGATAAGGAACCATCACAAGACATCTGATTCGATGATGGTCCATTGATGACAGCCTGTTGCTGCTTTACCCTCTAGTGCTGCAGTTTGGATCCATTCATCAGATGCTGGAGAGGGCATCCTGGCCATGGTGATGAACTTCCTAGTAGCCCTAGGAACTGGCATCGAGAGGCACTGAAATTCTTGCGAACGCTTGGAGCAACCATGCAAATGTTATGGCTCAAGGAATTGCATAAGTTGAGTATGAGAGTTGAGCAAGGCAGAGTACATGCAACGTACCTAGTCTTGAGTGAGTTCAGCACATACCTGCTCAGTTCATTATTTTGGCTGGCGCTGTTCTCGTTACGGATGAGAGAAGAAACAACTGATAATGATACATATTTGTTGAGATGACTTGGTGAAAGTGAAAACTGGACGTCAATACTACAATCAAATACTGTTACAGAAACACCATTATTCATCCTTTCAAGTTCGGATTCCTATGAATTGAAAAAAACACATGCATCCTTCACACAAATTTCTCCCAAGGTTACACGTGTAATGACCCGCCAAAACACAGACTGAGAACACTGCTGATTTCTGTGATTTGCAGCTGGAATGAATGCCTTGCTGAGATTCCCCCATTCTGCTGTGGTTTCCAAGTCTGTGCGTGTGTGCATGCCTGCTGTGTTGCGTGCCTGTCTGAGTGCTTGTCGGTTGAGTACGTGTGTGACCCGCGAGGGTACTTGTTGGTTGAAAGGCCCCGCGGGGCCGGTGCTTACCTGTGGCCGTGACTTTGAGGGTTGCAGCGGGGAAAACACTAGCGGGGGTAGGCCCGCGACACTTAGAGCAGAGGGAAAAACACTCAAGTAGCAGGTAGGCCCGTACCACTCAAGTAGTGGTAGAAGTGTCGGGTACTGGAGGCCTAGCAGAAGAAGACAAAAAGTTGGGATTTTTAGAGGCCCAGTAGCGGTAGGTTAGAGGTAGGCTGGTACCAGTCCAAGTAGCCCGAGTCTAGGCCCAGTAGCGGTAGGTTGTGCAAGCCCTCAAGGAGGCACAATTGCACCTCAACTTACAGAAATCTGAGTTTGGAAGGGACAGCGTCATCTATCTTGGGCACCAGTTATCTGCAAACGGCCTCGAGCCGGGGTTGAGGTCATACGAAAGTGGCCTCAACCGACGAACGTACGCGAACCGCGTTCTTTTCTTGGTTTGGCTTCGTATTACTGAAAGTTTGTGCCCAATTTTTTTGTCATTGCTCACCCACTATTGAGACTAACAAGCAAAAATGTTGCCTATGCAAGAGAATTTGGTAAGTCATCTTGTGCTCCGCATTGTGGATCCCAACCTCACGTTCGTAGTCACTACGGACGCGAGCCAGTATGGGATTGGTGCAGTGTTGCAACAAGATGATGGCAATCGCCTGCGTCCGCTCGAGTATTACAGCAAACGCATGCCCAGCCACAAGGTAACCTCCACGTATATGTGTGAGCTCTTTGCCTTGCGCGAAACGCTCACACATTGGAAGCACTACCTCTTGGGTCGCCACTTCAAGGTTTGCTCAGATCATCGGACCTTGCATTGGATTAAAACGCAAATTGATCTCTCTCCGATGCTGACCCGCTGGTTGCATGACATTGAGGTTTAGAATTTTAAACTGAAACACCAGAAAGGTTGTTATAATCGTGTTGCTGATGCTTTGTCGCAACATCCTGAGTTTTTGACTTGCCTTGTGAACTTGTATGACCTCCGAAGGAAACTGAAGGAGCATCTGGTCGAACACACTGCCAAGGATCCGGACCTTAGTCCCATCCTTGAGCAGCTGAAGGTTGACCCTAGCAGTCAGCCTGATTTTCACGAATGCGAGGGTCTTGTATTCCGCTGGTATGGGAAGTTTGATCGTTTGTGTGTACCCAACCATGCACCTCTCCGGACTCATTTCTTGGATTTGGCACATGGTCGGAGTGGACACTTCGGCTTTGAGAAGACATATGGAAGTCTTTTGCAGAATTTTGATTGGTCGGGAATAAAGGGATCTGCTCAAAAATTTATTGTTGAATGTCAAGTCTGTCAAAGAACCAAGGTCCATAGGCATAAGCCTTATGGTCTACTAAAACCCCTCCCCATTCCTAATGGACCCGGTGAGTCGGTCTCTATCAATTTCACGAACATGGGAAAGGTGAGCGAGGGAGGACATTCACAAGTCATGGTCATCATGGATCATTTTTCCAAATTTCTGAATTTGATTCCTCTACCTCCTCATCCACCAACTGAGTTTGTAATCGAAGAATTTCACCAGCAATACATTCTACAGTATGGACCCCCGAAAACTTTTGTGAGTGATCGGGACACCAGGTTCATTAGTGCTGATTGGAAGGACTTCACTTCTCAAATCTACGACATTAAACTCAACAAGACTTATGGTCGACACCCCGAAGCCAATAGATTGGTCGACGAAATCAACCAGACTGTCATCCAACTACTTCGCGCGTTAATTGTTCCAGATCAGAACACGTGGGACAAGGAGCTACACAAAGTGAAGGGGTTGTACAACAACTTCATTCACTCTGCAACTGGCGTGACACCAAATCAGTTGTGCAGTCCTCTCTCCTATCTGTTCCCCAAAAAGGTCCCTTGGTCTGACACCCGACATGCCTGACAATGCCAATTGTGCACGCTTGCTCAAAGCTGCTATCAGAGCAATGAACAAGCGTCAGCATACCATGATCAAACATGCTAACACGTCGCGCAAAGAAGGAACTTCGAAGTAGGAAGTTATGTCTGGGTCAAAATGTCCGAGTTTTCTTACGAAGAGGGCGTATCACGAAAGCTTCTTCCACTGTACTATGGCCCTTGGCAGGTTCTAAAGGTGGTTGGGGATGATTTTGGTCCTTCGTATATGATTGGCGTGCCTCCTCATCTGCACACATATCTGGTCTTTCACGCGTCAAAACTGTTGCCACACATCAATGATGAGACTTTTCCCTTATGAGATCCTATGATACCTCATCCTATAAACGGCGGCCATGAGTGAGACAGAATTGTTTCCCATGAAGGAAGAGGGAGGAACAGAGTACAAGGTCCACTTCCTCTATCACCCGTTGAACAAGTTCTATTGGATCGACCGAAAAGAGTTGCTAAAGAATGCTCCCCATGTTGTTAACGCTTATGGACAACAGATCGCTGATGAACAGATTGCTGAGTTTTCTGCAAAACTCACTCCTCATGGTTATACTAAATCTCTCTTTCTGATCTACGCCTACGACGCATTTTGTGCCGACTCTGAATGAGTCACTCGCTCGAAGGGACCTCGCTCGCTCTTGAGAGGGAGGTTGTGTAATGACCCGCCAAAACACAGACTGAGAACACTGCTGATTTCTGGGATTTGCCGCTGGAATGAATGCCTTGCTGAGATTCCCCCATTCTGCTGTGGTTTCCAAGTTTGTGCATGTGTGCATGCCTGCTGGGTTGCGTGCCTGTCTGAGTGCTTGTCAGCTGAGTGTGTGTGTGACCTGCGAGGGTACTTGTTGGTTGAAAGGGCCCGCGGGGCCGGTACTTACCTGTGGCTGTGACTTTGAGGGTTGCAGCGGGGAAAAAACTCAAGTAGCGGGGGTAGGCCCGCGACACTTAACACTCAAGTAGCAGGTAGGCCGGTACCACTCAAGTAGTGGTAGAAGTGTCAGGTACTGGAGGTCGAGAAGAAGACAAAGTTGGGATTTTTAGAGGCCCAGTAGCAGTAGGTTACAGGTAGGCTGGTACCAGTCCAAGTAGCCCGAGTCTAGGGCCTGTCCGAACGATAGCAGAGCTTGCAATGATGTTTCCCTCCGAAAGGGAGGAGGTACCTGTTGCTGGGAGGCCATTCGGCCTAGGAAGTCACCGCCCAAGGGGCCAGTAGGCCGCTATATCTTCCGGAGGAGCAAGCAGCTCCTCCTCATTTGCGGTATGCAAGGATTGGCGGCATGCTGCTGGAGGCAAGCGCTGGACTTGGGCAGCACTGCCTGGAGGTGACGAGCAGTTGGGCCCTCCCCCTGGCTATGGCGAGCAGCCCAGTTTGAGGAGGAAGAAGGGGGCGAAGGAGGAGAGTGGCGAGGTACCTACCTGGCTATGGTGGACACCATCTTCATCACCTTGTTGGGCGCTGCATCTGAAAGGCCCCAGTTGGGGTAGTGTCGCACCAAGGAAGCTCGAGGCAGAGTCAGGCATGGGGGCTTAGTCAGCAGCGGCATAGCTGCTTTGGGTTGTCCTTTGGACAGCAGTGCAGCGACATAGCTGCTTTGCGTTGTCCTTTGCACAGGAGGGCAGGGCCCTCAGTAGTCCGCCATAGCCTAGGCATGTGAGAGGTGGAAGAAGGGGGGGGAAGCCATAGCTATGGTGGACCTGTTGTTGTGTCAGCAGTAAGAGGGAACTTCGGACATTGATTCTGGTTCATCCACTCATTGTTATTATTATTATTGGAAGAAGAATAAGATTGGCGAAGTGAAGGAGGAGGAGGAAGGTGGAGACAGAAGGGGGATTTGTCATTGGTCTTGCTGGTATACATCGTCTTCTTCTTCTTCTTTCTCTCTTCTTTGGTCTATATCTCTTTGCAAGTGTTTTCATTTCTTTCACAATTGGGTGGCATTGTCTTTCATTGTGAATTTGCACTTTGGGAATGACCAGGATCGTAACACATGCCAGTTCACACACACATTCACACACACAATGAGAAGGCCAAAGGTAGCTTGGGACGTCAAGTCAAAATTACAACAAACTGTCTTGTTCCACAGACGGCTATGGCAACCACACAAATGGTATCAACAACAGGTACGCCTCTCTCTCTCTCTCTCTCTCTCTCTCTCTCTCTCTCACACACACACACACACACACACACACACATACACACTCCTAACCACAAGCCTCACAACCCATCTCATAATATCTCCCTCTTCTTTCCCTCTATCAACTAGCTATAGCACCCAGCACCAGTCGAATCGTAGCCGTCACTCGCTTATCAGTCATCAAGTCGCGCTGCGTCGCACTGCTTCCACGACAGGTACAAATGGCCGAAAAGCCCCCGCCACTCTCGCCAACAGACATTTGTAGATGACGGCTGAGTTCCTCTGCTTGAACCTCTTCGCAGGCCCTCACCTACTGCCCCGGCCACTCTCGCCAACAGATCTTGTTTATCTGGCAGCCCGTTACATCAGGCTAAAGGGGTCTGACGAAATTACCTGGCAGCCTGTTACATACATCAGGCTAAAGTGGTCTGAGCTTGGTTTTTGTGATGCATCTACTAAGCTCAGACCACTGGTAGGGTAACTAATCTCGCACTCCCCACTAATCCGATTCAGTCATTATTGGCATATATGGAACGCTGGACCTAGTTTCCAGCGCGTGCCGCGCCCCATGAATGAAATCGGAGCAAGTGCTTTCAAACACAAAAAAAAGGAGGCTCGGGAATAGTGTAATTCTTTCAAAGAGAAGTTCCCCGATGGTGACCCCCCCCCCAAGTCGTGACGACCACCAAGCAATCACCATCGCCAAGGCTGCAGTGGGGCCACCATCCTCGCGCTCAGACACCCCCCAAGGGTCAAGATTGAACAGCTCAACACTGTACAAATTTGGCCATTGGCCATGCATCACCACAACAGCGGGAAAAAGAGAAGGAAGCTACGGCAAGCAAGTTACTCACCTGCACCATCGAGTAGAGCTTATGTGCACTGCTTGTTAACTTCAGATTTGCAGACATAGAGTATGGTGTCCTCCCAACTCCCCTTTGTGATGGCTGGGGCAAAGTGAGTGACCAGTCGTCAACAGCAGCTAGCGCTGCCACACTCTCTTTGATTCGGTCTAGGTTCGCTGCAACGGCTTCTTCAACACTGGGCCGTACTAACTTGGACAGCACGGGAGTCAGAGCCAGTCCCGACTCTTCCAGCAAAGAGCAATAGCCAAGGGCAATCTGCACACACTCTGCTGCAGCTCGCAACCCTCCAGCCGCGGCAGACGCAGACAAGACATGGCGGCGGAGAAGATTGGCGCACCGCTCTGTCTCTGCATGAGCCCAAAGTACAAGCTCTGATGCATGCGCTGGCTGGTCGCCAAAGACCGCAACGGAGTCACTGGCAGCTGCCGCTATTGCCGAGAAGACCATTTGGGATAGAGCGGCAGTGTATGCGCCACCATACGATGTCCCACTTGGCCGCAATGACCGCACATTGTTCCGGAGTCGCTCACGATGCGAGTTGAGCAGCAAACTGTGTGCACGAGCACCATCCCCAAGTCGTCCTAGTGCAGATATCGCAGCCCTCAGCTCTGCCCCACGGACCGAGGGCTGCTGTGCTGACTCTGCCAACTGCTCAGCAAGTCGAGTTCGTCTCTCTGACAAGGCCAAATGCAATGCAGCCGCCGCCTCGTGGCTTAGCATGTCCTCGTCACCGCCCTGGTGACCACCATTCTGCGATTCAGACACCAACTTTTCCCCCTCCTCCAGCAAACTGAGAGCATCCTCAACTTTGCGCTCTGCCAGCAGCACATCTAAAATATCCGGAAGCTCCGCAGCCCGCTCATCCGCCACCGACGGCTCAAGCTCATCCTCCAGGAGATCCACCTCATCGAGCGAGGAACTCGATGGTCCAGATCCCTCTCGAACCGACAGTACCCCAGTCGGAGAACCAACTTCGACCAAGCCATGAATCAGCGATGCCTGAGCTGAGAGCAAGTTTCTCATCTGTAGAAGCTCGCCCTCCAAATCTGAAATCTCCTTTGAGGTCCTGTTCACATTTTTGCAAATAAAATGCACCAAATCATCATCATTGGACTGAATGAGGCCACGTCATATCCAGTCCCACAGCTCTGCATTTTTTCTCTTTCAAGCTTTATTTACTTACTTGAAGACCTAAATCCTCCTCTTTTCCTACACTCCTGACATTCCCAAACTTCTCCCCTCCTATCTATCCCCTTCGCCACTTGTGTGATGCCCTACCCACCCTTGATTCCTTATTTTTCTCCTCTCCATCGCTGCTTGCGAGTCCTACCCCTCCTCTTCTCCCACCTTCCTGACATTCCCACTTCCCCTCTTTCCCTCCCTTCCTGACATTCCCAAACTTCGCCCCTCCTCCTATCCCCTTCACTTCGGCCATGCCCTACCCACTCTTGGTTGCTTATTTTTCTTCTTTCCATCCATCACTTGTCAGTCCTACCCCTCCTCTTCTCGCACCTTCCTGACATTCCCGCTTCCCCTTCCTTTGTCCTTCGCTTCTGCCATGTCCTTCCCAGCAATCACCCTTGCTTCCTTAGTTTTTTTCACTTCACTTCTTCGTCCTTGCAGTTTTTTCTTTCCTGCCCCTGTCCCTTCCAGCTACCCACCCTTGGTTGCTTATTTGTCTTCTTTCCATCCATCACTTGTCAATCCTACCCCTCCTCTTCTCGCACCTTCCTCGCATTCCCGCTTCCCCCTTCCTCTGTCCTTCGCTTCTGCCATGTCCTTCCCAGCAATCACCCTTGCTTCCTTAGTTTTTCCCACTTCACTTCTTCGTCCTTGCAGTTTTTTCTTTCCTGCCCCTCTGTCCCTTCCAGCTTACTTGTACATTCGCCGCCTCCCCCAGGGAATAGGTCATTCCATGAATAATCTCAGATGGCAAAGCTTAAATTTGAATTTGACCACGAACCTGATCTCCTCTTTCAACGGGAAGATGAAGAGAATCGGGCTTGTCCATGGGGTGCGTGTACACGTTCAGCAGCAAGGGGGGAAAGCGCATCATACAGTCAAGCCACGAGAGGGACACCGCTTATCATTCACAAACCGCCAATATTACAGTCTACTCTCGAGTCCTTTCTCCCCCGCAGGGGATGTGCATGCAACCCGTACCCCCTGGCCAGGGACAGGTCACACACTTAATCATTCGTTCTATCAATGTATCATCGTTCTGAGTGATCACAGACAGACACGTACACGTACACGTCTACTTACGTACATCATATAATTAGCGTTGTACGATCATATGCATACGGATACAAATAACGGCGAAGGAAGAAAAAAAAAAGGAAGAGAGGCCGAGAGCAGAAAAACGAAACATCGAAAGAAAGACAGAGAAAAGGAGCCAGGAAAGAGACGAAGGGTAACCAAGGAAGCAAAGTGCGATCACGAAGAAGACAGGAAGGAAGGAAAATGAGGGATCAGAAACAGGGAGCAAAGGGACAAAATGTCCCTGGCGGGAGAAAGGAGGGGGAAGGAGGCAAGGATGCGAGTAAGGTCAGGGGGAAAGAACAAGAAGAAAGGAGGAGAGAAGAGAGAGGGAGACAGGAAGTAAGATATGACGGAGCAATGTCAGCACGTCGTGCAAGAAGCGAGCCACGCAGGCAGGAAGGGGCGGAGGCAGGGAGAAAGGAGGGAGGGAGGAAAGGAAGGAACGAGGAAGGAAGGAAGGGAGAGAGGCATGGAAGGAAGGAAAGAAGGGAAGTCGAGAGAGAGAGGAATGTGGCAGTGAGGGAGGAGGGAAGCAATAAACAAAGCGAGCGAGAAAGGAAAGGAAGGACTAGGTGTGACAAATGGGATAGATGGAAGGATAGGAGGGATGCCAGGGGTGGATGCGCGCACAGGATGGAATCGCCTGCATGCTTGGCCAGAATAGGACAAATGGAAGTGGACGGATGAATTGACTGGGGAGGAAGAAAGGATAAAGGAAAGGCAGGGAGGGAGGGAGAAAGGGAGGGGGGAACGGAGAGACCGAGGAAGGTAAGGAGGAGGATAGTGGGGAATATGGGGAGTGGGAAATATGGGGGGGATTCAAGTCCCGCTACGGACACAAGTGCATGCACGTTGGTCAGGACTCAGTCCAACTCCTGAGGCTTCCTGGGGAAAAGCATCACAGCTCGGGCGAGCTGTGCAAAAGCGTAATGCCAGGTGAAATCGTGTGCTTCGACGATCTTGCTTCATCATCACTGACAAGAAGGCGAACGTTGAAGCTATCACAGTCGCCTTCCACATACAAGTAGTAATTTCGCAGCTGGCGGGCACCCCCCAGCTGAGCTGTCATGATGGATGTCAAGGCTTTTTTTTTCCCTTTTTCTTCTTCTTTTTTTTTTTTTTTCCTGGTCATGATGGATGTCAAGGCTTTTGACGAAATGGGTTGTAATCCTCATGCGCATAATAGGACAAGGCTTTTTTTCCCCTTTTTTTTTTTTTTTCCTTTTGTCATGATGGATGTCAAGGCTTTTGAAGAAGTGGGTTGTAATCCTCACGTGCGCAGTGTCGGGCCGTGGAGAGCTGAACTACCGTCTTCACCCGAATAGAACGTCCGGTCTCTATACCTGTATCTGCACTGAAAATTGCACCAAATACGGCTATAATGACCGGGCGTTCTATTCGAGTGAAAGACGGTAGGTTGGCAATCCCATCACGCGTGCCAAGAAAGCACACATCGGGCGTGTGTGTGCAAAGGCGAGCGCTCCGGAGTGAGCTCCAGTTGTACGTAGGACGAGGTAAATTCTAAAAAAAAAAAAAAAAAAAGGACGAGGTATATATTCTACTGACAGTGGCATGTCGACTATGTGATTCCGTGCGTGTGCCGTGGCGTCTTTCATCGATCGAAGAAGACTACCAGAGAACGACGCCCAGGCCTACATGGTCTTCGGTACTCGTCGGAGGATGGACCCCTGATGAGCCGGCGGCCCTGGCAGCCCCGACGCATTGGGGAATGAGCGTGACTTGAGCTACCGGGATCCAGATTCGAAACGATAGTCAGACGCATGTGTGACTTGCTGCATGTTAGGTCTATGCATGTGAGCAGCTCCCTCTACTTCTTCTCTAACATGCGTTTGCAACTGGCGGGCTCCACCTAACACCCCTCCCCCTCCCCCTCCCCCCCCTCCGCGACGATTTACTATATTTTCTTGTCTGTTTTGTCACCACACGAGCCACGACAACTAGTTAGGAATATCTCCCCCACATACTAAACTGGAGAAGGGGGTATCGAACTTCTGCTCCTCGTTGCACTACAGTTATGCTCAATCTATATCGCCTTAAACCACCAGCAGTTCTTCCTGGAGTCGTGCCCGTTAACGCGCCACGATTTTAGGAAACGTACGGGACACTACAGGAGCGCCCAAATTCATCCGACTAGAAACGTTTCTACTCTTTTTTTTTTTCCGCGGCCGATAGCTGGCCAAGTACTGGTGGTTTAAAACGGCATTCCTTTCTCCCCCGCCTGTGACTCGTGTAAGAGTTTCCATTGCAGCGGCGGCGGTTCTATTACTTTCATTGATGGTGTACCGTCTCGCTCTGGGCTGGAGTATTTCCACATCAATTGGAAACAACCACCAGGACTCGAACTCCCGCTGTATCGGCCACATGAGCTGGGTACTTTCCGCTTTGGGAAAGACTTTTGCCATCCTGTGGACGAACCAAATGCGCGCGAACGTCTATGCGGTCAACTGGACTCAGGTATCCTCCGTGAGCAAAAAAAAAATCAAATCAGAAAAGTGGAAAGCACCCAGCTCATGTGGCTGAATGGTGATACTCAGATGTTAACACTAGATGAGAAGATCATGAGTTCGAATCCTGGGTGAATCGGATGAACACGATAACATCAATTACTATGTGAGGGGATGTTAACCCCAGAATGAAAAGATCGTGAGTTCCAATCCTTCCTGGTTCAATCCGATGAATACGCCAACATCAATTATATGAGGGGAGACGTGAACGGAGAAAGAGACGACCGGAGTGAAATGCACTGTGATAAAAGAAGAAAAGGGGAATTTACTGACAAATAAATTTATGCAACGGATCAATCACAACGCAAACAAAAAGATGTGACACAATCACCACCATAATCACCATTTCAGTTTACTTAGAATCCAATCAAAACGATCATTCACGCCAACATCACAATAAGAGCGGCATTAAATTCACAGCCGAAAATTGGAATCATTATTTTATTTTATTTATTTATCTTAAAAAAACAACAAATAAATTATTTATTTATTTTTAAAAAATAAATAAATTATTTATTTATTTACTACTGTAGGCTACCAGAGTGGCCCGGGTCCACTTGGTCGGCCGGGCCAAAAAGATATATAAAAAAAAAAAAGTAAAAATTATTTTTTAATTTAAATCTTTATTTTAAATTTGGTAAAGAATTTCGAGGTGACCCTGAGGCAAAAGTTGTTCAGTTTATTTTTCTGCATAACATAGTTTTTTTTTCGGATTTTTTGGATTTTAATTTTTTTTTTTTTTTGGGGTGGGACATTCCCTTGTCCTTGCACGGGCGGGCCGCCCGGGAAAATAGGGTGACCCGGGCGGCCCGGTTGGTAGCCTAGTATATTTATATATTTATTTACTTGTTTATTATTTTTATTTTTATTATTTTTATTTTTATTATTTATTTTAACGTCGTCTGCTGAAACCTCGCGGAGATTCGATCCCACGACGGGTTGCTTCTGCTTCCCATCGACCTTTTACCGAGACGTCACCTGCCAACGGGCGGCTAGCATTAACGACACGAACGTCTGACAGGGATTATTTCCCATCTTGTCGAAATAGACTAAGATTAGCACAGGATGTGCCCGAGCACCATCGACTGCCATGTGTCCGACCACCACCCACCGGCCTGTGCCCAGCCCATTGAACATCATCTCTAGTGCCAGAATGTTCCATACCGCACGGGCAACAAGTTTTACCTCGACGAAGAGAAGCACCTAACAATGAAGTTCATTTTCACGTCCCAAACACAAACACCAACCAAAAACACACAAGTGGGGGCGAACCCAGCACCCACAAAACCTCATACCGTTTTCTTTTGGTATGGCCGACGAACATCGCAGCGACTTTCATTCATCCTTCGCTGCGATGTTCGTCGGCCATAAAAATAAAAATAAAAATAAAAATAAATAAAAAAAATGTTCGTCGGCCATACCAAAAAAAAACGGCAAACGAAAAGAAAATCTCATCCGCTAGGAGTTCACGTTTTCATATCCAACATCGAAAAATGCCGAACCACCTCCTCATTCCCCCTGCTTCGTCTTCCTGGAGATATGACCAGCTCCAGGGAATGCAGAATTTTCCGGTCATCTGTTTGTATCTGGATTGCATGTCAACAGTTTGTGGGTGTACCAACTGAGCTTGGCTCCTGCTCCGTCTTCCCGATATCTACCGTCTTCCCCCGAACACAACGCACCCTCATTTTGGCTGTATCTGGCTGGAAATATAACTCGTATACATTCATTTTTCGGGTGCGTTATGTTCGGGGGAAGACGGTAGTCTATTCAACATAATCCATCAACCGCCATCATCGGCATTACCATATTTACGTGGTGCAGCCAAATACCAATAAAGCACAAACAGGCAAGAGCAAGTGAGAGAGGGAGGAAGGCCAACCGGATAAAAGCCGCATAGTTGGTGTAGACGCTCTTGCGCATCTCCTCTGCCGAGATTCTTCTGAGCTCCAGAAGCCCCGCACATAATTGCCGAATATTCTGGTCATGACCATCCAACATGTGACCCACAAAACAACGGAATTACGACACTGACACCCCAACCAAAGAGCCTTTGGAGATAGGCAGATACAGACTGAACAGGAGGCCAAAATCCCACACCCTTCCCAGCATCCATTTTCCCTCTCCCCATTTTCACACTCGTCCTCAGCTCATGCCCCGATCGTCATCCATTTTTCCCAACCCCCATTCTCTCTCTCTCTCTCTCTCTCTCTCTCTCTCTCTCTCTCTCTCTCTCTCTCTCTCTCTCTCTCGTGACTATGGCATGGATTGACACAACGAAGATGGCATGTATTCAACACAGTTACGATCCCCAGCCCTGGTTAACACGCAGTTCATTAACGCGTTAAGATCCCCAATCCCAATAGTTCACACGAGTTCATTAATGCGTCAAGGTCCGTGAGTTTGTGTGCGTTTGTGTATGTGTGTATGAAAAGAAAAACACGCAGGCGCAGGCACACAGGTGTACACATACGCAAGAGGGCACGCACAACCACGTATACAAAGAAAGTCAAGCGGACAAACAGCCAAACGCGCTTACACCCTAATCCATCGCCACCATCCAGCACCTTCCCGATCACCGCGACCGTTCGGCATCGTCTCTGACATCCATCATCCTCCTCCCAAGAGGACACGTTGCGAGACAATCGCCCTAAACACTGCCATAGCCCCACTCTCCAGCAATCTTCCATCTCTTCCCCATCTCTCTCGCTCTCTCTCTCTCTCTCTCTCTCGCTCGCTCGCTCGCTCGCTCGCTCGCTCGCTCACTCACACACACACACACACACACACACACACACACACACA